GGTTAGTTACCATGGTGGTAATACATGGTATTGGCAATTATTATCACTATTCTGCATTTTTATAACATGAAACTATATCTTACCACACCTTACCATATGGTAACAAAGTAAAACAGAACAAGAATTATGGTTTCCTCCATTTTTATAACATGAATTCATTGCTTACCACACATTACCATATGGTAACGTATTAAAACACAACAGGACTTATGTTTTCCTCCATTTTTATAACGTGAAACCGTAGATTACCACACTTTACCATATGGTAACAAACTAAAACACAGCAGGACTTGTTGTTTTTTGTATTTTTAAAACATGAAAGCATAGCTTACCACACATTACCATATGGTAACAAAGTAAGACAGAACAAGAATTATGGTTTCCTCCATTTTTATAACATGAAACCATTGCTTACCACACATTACCATATGGTAACGAAGTAAACCACAACAGGACTTATGTTTTGCTCCATTTTTATAACATGGAACCATAGCTTACCACACTTTACCATATGGTAACAAAGTAAAACACAGGACTTACGCTTAGCATGTATTGGACAACTGGTATATAGATAATTTGTACTTACTTGGTTGACTGTTCTGATTTTCTTCAAATCAAAGTTCAGTGATGATGACTGCTCGGGACTTTTGTTTCTTTGTCTTTTCGGTGATTCATAGACTGGCTCATTCTCCTCTTCCTCATCAGCTGCGACATCAGCTGCGTCATCAGCCTCATCATCAGCCTCATCATCAGCCTCATCATCAGCCTCATCGTCTCTAATGTTGGTAATCTTTTCGATCTCGTTCAACTGTTTTCCATTGTAGTAGCTCTTAATGTTCTCAAAGTTGCTATCAACATTGTTATCATCATAGTAGCTTACTGTTGGTGTTCGAAGCTGGGTTGAGAATGCCATTTCGTCCAGTTTGTACATGAAGCATACCTTTTTATGCAGATAGTTGTATTAGTTTTTTCAAAGAGTATCATTTATATATAAAATATATGAGTAACAAGGTTGAAATGGCCAAGGGAATGGAGACTTACTGTAAGGAAGTGAAGATCTGCATTGACGTAGAACTTTGGTGATTTCAATCCTTCATTCATGTGGTTGAAGAAGTATTTGCACCAGTTGTAGCTGGTGAAATGTTTCTGTTCATCAGTCTTCAAGTACTCAAGCATGTTGAGTTCAGCCATAGGGGCTGAAGTTGGGCACAGCAAGCCTCCGGTGACCAGCAGAAAGAATAATTGTAACCATCTCCTACTGTTGGTAACTGTAGAAAGATCTTTTTCTACCTTACTTAGCTTTACCCTTGGAGTGGATGCTCCATCTACTTCCAGTAGGGTTTCTACTGCATAATCTGCTGCATCGTCCCAAGAAATCGTGGGAGGTACAACTTCCCTATTCCCCATTGGCAGACCATATACCCTATGAAAGTCAATTGGTGATATCTTCATGCGTGTCCCGTCAGGTAGCTTGAAAGATTGTTTCATTGGATTGTATTTGTTCATTACGAACAGTGCAAAATGGGTGTTTATCTTTGTCTGCTTGATTGACATTAAGCCTGCTAGGCCTAATGTCTCAAGTTTCTCTTTCTGGTCATCTTTTATAGTCCTTGTAATTGCAGATATTCTTGTTGGGCTGCACCTTGTGCGAAAATTTTTTCTTTGGTTTACCATAGTGTACCTGAATGTAGAAATTAGGAATAGTCTGTTAGCGTGCTTTTTATCATGATATACCATATGGTACCATAATGGTTTCATACCATACCAAATCAAACCATATATTTATCTCATTTTACCATATGGTAATTACATCAAACCATGTCTTATAACATATTACCATATGGTAACGAAGTAAAACACAACAGGATGTATGTTTTCCTCCATTTTTACAGCATGAAACCATAGTTTACCACACATTACCATATGGTAAAGAAGCAAAACACAGCAGGACTTATGGTTTTTTGCTATTTTACAACATGAAACCATAGTTTACCACTCATTACCATATGGTAACGAACCAAAACACAGCAGGACTTATGGTTTTTTGCTATTTTACAACATGAAACCATAGTTTACCACACATTACCATATGGTAACGAAGCAAAACACAGCAGGACTTATGGTTTTTTGCTATTTTACAACATGAAACCATAGTTTACCACTCATTACCATATGGTAACGAAGCAAAACACAGCAGGACTTATGGTTTTTTGCTATTTTACAACATGAAACCATAGTTTACCACTCATTACCATATGGTAACGAAGCAAAACACAGCAGGACTTATGGTTTTTTGCTATTTTACAACATGAAACCATAGTTTACCACTCATTACCATATGGTAACGAACCAAAACACAGCAGGACTTATGGTTTTTTGCTATTTTACAACATGAAACCATAATTTACCACACATTACCATATGGTAAAGAAGCAAAACACAGCAGGACTTATGGTTTTTTGCTATTTTACAACATGAAACCATAGGTTACCACACATTACCATATGGTAACGAAGCAAAACACAGCAGGACTTATGGTTTTTTGCTATTTTACAACATGAAACCATAGTTTACCACTCATTACCATATGGTAAAGAAGCAAAACACAGCAGGACTTATGGTTTTTTGCTATTTTACAACATGAAACCATAGGTTACCACACATTACCATATGGTAACAAACTAAATGACAGCAGGACTTATGGTTTTTTGCTATTTTACAACATGCAATCATAACTTACCACACATTACCATATGGTAACGAACAAAACACAGCAGGACTTATGGTTTTTCGCTATTTTAGAACATGCAATCTTAATTTACCACTCATTACCATATGGTAATGAAGCAAAACACAACAGATTCTACATCAGTTCAGCAACGCATGGAGAGTGACTGCGATACTGTTCTATTGTTCTGTGGATGGATTTTCGAAGAAAGAAGTGAGGTTTTACCTTGATATTTTGTGCGAAAACGATTTTTGAGCCTCGTTGAAGTTGGAAACTCTTCGTTTTTCGACGAAGAAGCGAGAACAGTGTATCGTTGAATGATTCTTCGAAATCCTTTGCGAAAATCGTTCGATTTGAAGTTTTTTCTGGAAGTTTTTGCTGCGATTTTGGTGAGAGAATTGAGAATCGAGAGGAAGAATGGAGAGTTAGAGAGCAGAGAGGGAAGTGGAACTGTCGCTTGAAAGGTGAGAGGAAGAAGGAGAGAAGGCGGGACGGTTGTCGCTGTCACGTCTGCAATTCAAATTGTCAGAGACGAGATTACGTTTTTGCCCCCGCGTGTATTTTAAGTGGCCTGATCTGACGGCTGGGAAGATGGCGCGATGGACGGCCGGATCATCGGTTACTGACCGTTACTGATAGGTCGGTTACTGATAGGATCCGGACCCCTGATTTTTGACACCACACTATCATTTAAATCAATTTTTCATATTTGACCAAAATTAATGGTAAACTGACAGAAAAATGGATGTAAGGTATATTTGATAACCTTGCTATAGTAGAAGGGCAAAACTTATATAAAACATTACAAAGGCATGTTTGAGAACTTTGGAAAGTAGAGTGTCAAAATATACCTATAATCCTATTTGTAATCTACAAAGAAAAACTGGACGGATTTACAAAATTTCAAACAAAATATATTTTGTTTGTGCCCTGAAACCTTCTTCCTCCGCCCCGCGCTCTTATCTTCAACACGTCCCCCATTTGTCGCCTTCCTGCACACACACAAGCGCCTAGCGGACCAATCTGATCTGTTAGCACTCCGACGCTCAAGTATGAACCCTTCTTTTAGAGAGAGAAGTGAAGAACAGTTCTAGTAAGAGAAGTAACACTGAGTAAATGAGGTATACCTACTCCACTATTTATACCCGGGGCGAGATCGACCGGTATCCGTCGCTCTCCCCCTGTGTCAGGTCCGTCATAAATGCATCGTACAACCCTTGAGCATGCGCCTCGACCATCTTACATCTAGGTCAGAGGTTTGAGGCGCCTGACATCACGCGGTCAGCTTTTCGTACACTTCCGACCATTGGTTGTTTTTTGTCTCATGCGCCTTTCACCAGGTGCCCGGTCCCACCTGTCTCACACGTCATCCCGGCCGTTCGGGCCTTTGTCCATGCGCCCTTCAGCCCAAAGTCTTTGCCCCCATGGGCTTTCTAAGTTCCATTGGTTGGGCCCATGTCTGTGCTCCACTAACAACCTTCTTTGGGCTTTCCCTTTTGGGTTAGTCCCTGACCCATATTTACTCCCCTAACATATTTCACCTTAAATATATGTGCAAGTATATATTTCAAGATAATATATATCTTTAAAATCAACATCCATATTTAGATAATACAACATTTAAAAACAATATTTAGCGCCAACATCCAAAAGTTTATACTTGAATCTAACAAATAACATAAACATCTAAATATTTAGTACTAATATTGGACACCACATTCTCATACTTGAATCTAACAAAGTTTATACTTTTAAATTCAAGATTCAAATGATTTTTTTGTTAATTAAATTAAAAAAGATCATAATTTTGTTTAAATGTCGAAAATCGATCATACTGGTCATAATAGAGGCATTCCAATAATTTTGTAACTAGTACTGGTTGTACCTTCTAGCATGCCACCGACATGACAACAATGCTATGATAAAAAGGTTGTCAAACCGATTTATACTGTTGTATCGTTTTAGCAAGTGAAATAGTTCGACCAATAGTACAACCTTTTTGTGTTGGTTCATGCTAGTTTAATAAAATATGAAAATATATGAAAGCTATTAAGATCAAATGAAATTGAGCATATATAAAATATATTTGAAAACAGCTTACTTACAATCTACATTCATATTTAAATAAAATACAACATTTCAAACAAAATAATAAATACTCATATTTAAATTCAATATATAATATCACCACCCAAACTATTATACTTTGAATTCAAAAAATAACATCTATTTTTAACTTTCATTTTTATAAAATAAATCACAAATTAATTCTTTTTATTAGTTAAATTCACCAAAATGAACCCACCCTATCCAATCCTGATATTTTTATTAGTTAACTTAACAAAATAGAAAAGAAAGGTAAAAATTATGAATTTGCAGAAAAGGATCGCTCGCCTCTGCGTGCCTGAGAGCCAGTGAGCCTCTCGGGACAAGATCGAGCTGAAAAGCTGTAATCCAAAACAGGACCCTTCCTTCAGGTACTTTTGTTTGTCTTGGCAATTGGCCCTAGTCTTTGCTCCTCATCCCTCCAAGATTGTCTCATATGCCCAACTTATTGTTCTCGCTCTATTAGGGTTTCCTTTGAACTGCCTGGAATTTGGTGTTGTAGTTGAATCAATGGCTACCTTCTTCCATTTGGGAGTAGTTTCAATTTTCTCTCCCCGTGCCATGTCGCGCGTCGCTATAATTGGTGTATCTACCTCCGTGCTTTATGTCAGGTCAAGATTGTGAAGCCGCCGACAGACTCCCTCTGAGTTCCACTAAAAGATGGATTTAGACTTGGATAGAGGTAAATGCTTACTCTTGATTGCTTCTTGATTGACGCATAGCTGTGAAATGGAATTCGAAGTTGAATTTTTCTATTGGATAAGTCCAGTTCAGAAACTTGTCATCTCAAGCAAATTATGGATGTGCCAGGAGGAGATTCATCTTGTGTATATACCTTCAATTAGCGTTATGACTTGGAAACATTACCATATTACATTGGTGGGAATCACAGCCAGCTAGCTAGCAGATTGTAGTTTGCATCACTATTTAATTTGGACTTTCTCGGAAAGTTCTTTTGCCCGAGTCTGAGCTATTTAGTGCTTGTATGTTCAGCCCTTTATATTTTCACGAACGAGATCATTAAACTTTAGAATGAAGGAATTAAGAAATACACGAAGAGAGGAGGTCGAACTTTATGTCTTTATGCTTAGTATATAGTCAGGTGAAGCACTCCTGTCTTTGATGTGATTAGCATTCGAAACAATACAACTGTTTCAGGAATTTTTTGAAACGGAAAGTATGTGGCGCTGGATGCGGAATGGTGCCTTTAGGCAGCAATTCTATTCAGTAACAGTTGTGTAAACGTGGCCAGAATGGATATTCATGTAAACAATTTCCCCCCTGGCAAAGTGGTCGTCTAAGTTCAGTTGAGAAAAAATGACCTGTTTGGTCTTAGATTAGTTTGCCTCGAATGTGATACTTTTAGTGTAATTATTATTCCCAGTTACAATCTGTAAGGCAAATTTCACTTGAAATATGTTATAGATATGTGAACTACTTGAAGAAATTTACTTCACTCGGAACAACTAGCATGGCTGGTACATCAAATTGTGCCAACTTTATATCAGTAACTATTGCAGGATTCTTCCTCTGAATATCCTGATCAGAATTCTGCAAGGCATTGATGTTTTGACAATATATTACGTCTCACTATGCTCACACATTGAAAGTATCTAATTATTATTGTTTATCTAGTTTAAATTTTGTATATTCATTATAATTTTTATTTTGACTATCTTACAGTAAGCTACAAGTCTGAATGATTAGCAATGTCTGCCTCTTGATCTTTTGCAAGTAATGTGGCCCTTTTAGATCATAACATGTCATTACAACTTGTATAGCCTTGAGCTTATATACAGTAACATGGTTTTGAGATTACACTAGTCATCTGAGATAAGTAGTACCTTGACAGACAACTAATGTTACTTACCCGAGCGTTCAACTTTAACTAACTAAACCAAAAAGTTGTGCTTCTAGGAATGGAAAAGTTTGTGATGATGTCTTACTAGTTGTGTTGATTATGCTACAGTGGATGTGGATCTGGACAAGGAAGTTGACGGCCCTGTGGAAGAAAATACTGGTGTATCAGAAGCGGATTCAAATCTAGAACCATACGTTGGCATGGAATTTGAATCTGAAGACGATGCCAGAAATTTTTACGTCGAGTATGCCAGACGGGTTGGATTTTTTGTGCGTGTTATGCAACGTCGCCGTTCTGGGGTTGATGGAAGGACTCTTGCTCGTAGACTTGGATGCAACAAACAGGGATTCTCGCCTAATAATAAGGGCAGACTTGTACAAGATAAGAAGCCGCGATCAAGTGCCCGTGAGGGGTGCAAAGCAACAATCTTAGTTAAATTGGAGAAGTCAGGAAAATGGGTTGTCACAAGATTTGAAAAGGAACATAATCACCCCTTGGTTGCAACTGCCAATGGTTTCAATGCAGCGGTTAGTATCTCGATCGATGGCCACATCTTATTTGGATGTTCAATGATGACACAACTAACATATACAATTGCTATAACGTTTTAGTCTTCTTTATCAATAATAGTGGTCAAGAGGCCCGATCTCGTTTAGAACTTCATCTTATGTTTATTGTACTAAGGCAGATTTCTGCTACTTAGATCCATGGATGAGTACTTTTAACTATATCTTGCTATCTTGACAATTACTAGTTGGATCTTATGTTCACTAGTTATATCCAGGATTGTCATGTTAGCTAAGAACGCTCTTATTAGGTTCCTTGTTTTTTCTATGATTTTCACCATGAAAAGAATGTGTCGGTTTGAAGGACAGTTGGTACGGAGGTTAACGGATGCTTGGTTTTAGCAATTCTGCCCCTGTGGTGCTAGAAAATAGCTCTGAAGGGCATATGTACGTAATTTTATGTTTCACTTTAAGTTATCTGTACCTGAGAGCCTTGGTTAACTTTTTGTACTTGTAGGGTGACAAGGACAAGAAAATTGAAGAGCTTACCAAAGAGCTGGATCTCCAGGATCATTTATGTTCAGTTTATAAAGAGAAGTTACTTAGTTTTATAAAAAGTGTTGAGGACCAAACAGAAGAATGGTCTTCCAAAATCCAAGTTATTGTTGACAATGTGAGGAAAGTTGAATCTGAGGTACAAAAACAGTCCCACACTAGATAACCTTTGCATGCAATGCAAGTATTATTATTATGATCATGGAAGCTTTTGCTCGTGGATGATATGTGTTAATACCAGCTTTCATACTTAAGCATTGAGAGCCGTGTAATAACCAGCAGATACCTTGGAAACGGAATGTTTCTATTTCTTGCTCTGGTGTCAGCGGAGGGTTGTTTCCTTTCTCAGCTTACCCCGGACAAAAGTTAATATGGAAACACGTAACTTTGGCCTCTAGGTGAAAAAAAGGCATCCCTACAAGATCGAGGAAACCCAATTCATGTGCGGCTGGAATGTTTTTGCTAAAGAATGATAGACATTAGGTTGCTGCTTTTTACTTCATTCCTGTGTCGGCTCTCCTGTCCTTGAATAAGGCAGCAGCATTCACAAAACAAGCCAGAAAGCGACTTGGAAAATGGTCTCGAGAACATGAGAATTTTGTTTCATTGTATGTCTACAAAATGGGGATTCTAACATTTAAATAGGATAGATGGTTGTTGTTAGAGTATGAAGTTTGTAGTATGCCTCTTTTCATCAATTATTGGGGAAGGGAAATTTCCAGGGAAGAGCTTCTCAGGAAGAAGAAACCAATCAACTGAATGAGATCGATCAACAGACACTTGAACAGAATAAAGAAATTGTCATGAAGGTAGCAGAGTGAGGTATGAGTAACCTAGGGAATAATGAAATGCAGGTCCTTCTCAATTTCATTTTTTTAAACTTCCTCAACATGCTTCTTGCAGATTGAATGAGTATTTTAACTTTCAGAATGCACAGTTTCTATGCAGATGTTGTTGGGTATTCAATTTGCTTGACAGCTTATGGAAGGCAGGAAAACATGATGAGGGAGAGGTACCACAACTGCAAGTTTTCTACACTTCATGCTTCCTTTCTTGTTTATTTTGGTTTTATTGCTCTTTCCAGTTTCATGTATGTTTAGAGTTCTGTCTCCTAATCTGTAGCTGTCTTTTTTCACTTTACACAATATAATGGCGCTTAGATTGTTGACTAGGGTGATTAGACCGGAGAATCGTCTAGGGGATGATTACATGAGCATCATAGGCGATGTGATGCGTCTAGGGCTGCTGTGAATATATAAGAGAACTAGGGGTTGCTGGAATTTAGAAGAAATAGTTCAATGCAGGATTTTTCCTAGGTATAATGGAGGAAGAACCGCCACACCTATGGGGAATAAGGTCTGGTAGCTCGGGGTGACAAGGAAAAACTCCTGTATCTGGTATAATCTCCCGATACTTTGGAACTAACCTCCTCCCCTTCATGTATAGGAGTTACAGAACTTCATTGGCAAATTAGTGTATGAAAATGAATTCCTAGCTAGATACTACTTTTCCTAAAAGGCTACAAGCTTATCCAGGAAAATTACTGAAATTCTCAAATAAGGAAGAATGAGAAAGACAATCAAAACTAAGGCAAAAATCTGCCCCATCATGATGATTGATGACTACTAGGTTTGAATTCTCAACACTCAGCCAACCGTTTGACGTTTGAGCATCACAGATCATTATGATTGAAAGAGCACGGATCTAGGTGTGCGATTGAGGATCGTGATTGGTATGTGAATTAGGGATTTGGGATGAGGTAGAATTGGGGAATTAGGGTTGAGAGAAGAGGTTTCCGGTCACCGGGATGGTGGCCGACGAGTTGGAGAGGGGAAGAGAGGGTTCGGCTATGATAGGGAGAGAGAGAGAGCTTTAGGGAATAATTCTGTTGTTATTGCTTAACCCTAGCTTATGCCTAACACAGAATATATATAAACCGACTAATTCCCTATAACTACCCAAAGACTTAACCTAACCGATTTAACCCCAATAGTTCCCAAAATAGCCGACATAATATAAAACGTCAAATAACAAATAAACCCCAAATTACTAAATGTCTGACATTCCATCCCCCTTGAAACCCACCTTGCCCTCAAGGTGGACCTTCTTTCTTCTCTTCCTTCTTCTCTTCCGCTTCTCGCGCCTCCATTTCTTCCCCTTCATCTTCCCAGTTCCCCACCAGCAGCATAAGATGACCCTTGGCGCATTGATGCCCCACTGTATACCTTTCGTCGCAGTTGAAGCAACGTCCATCTCTGCGCTTCTGATCCATTTCCGCCTGTGTTAGCCGGACAAACCCTTTTGGTGGCAGCCTTGACTGGAATCTGCTCGCTGCTGATGCGCCGGTGGCCGCCGGGCTTGCATTTCCCGTCGGTGGTGAGGTACCAGCTCCTGCTCCCACTCCTCCACTGGCCTTCTGGATACGTCCAGCCGACGTCCTCCAACTAGCCAGCTCCTCTTCCTTGCGCCCTGCAATCCTGAAAGCAACTCGAAGAGAGTCAGGTTCGAAAACCTTTACTGCGGTTGCCAGCTCCGGGCGAAGTCCCGCCATACACAATCCCACCAGGGTCTCCTCCGTCATTTCCTTGCACTGGTTTCCCAGTTTAAGGAACTCCGCGCGATACTCGGCCACCGACCCTGTCTGCCTGAGCTTGGCCAGCTGTTCCGGGGCCCATCCCTCCGCCTTGCCAAACTGGTAGCGTAGCTCATCCTGGAACCTGGGCCACGAGATGAACTCGCCTGCTGCTGCATAGGCCCGCTCGGTCCATTCCCACCACTGGAGCGCATCCCCTTCAAGATAGAAGGATGCCGGTGCGCCTTCCTCTCTTCTCGGATCGGGTGGTTCCGGAACCACCTCTCAGCTGCATACAACCACAAACCCACATCTCCCGAGCCATCGAATTTGGGAAACTCTATCACTGGCGGTTTAGCTCTAAATACCAATTCCTCTTCAGTCTCATACAGAGGGTTATGGTACTCATACCTGCCTGTGTTCGGTGGTGGTGGCCGATTCCCCGGTCCTTGCCGGTAGTGGCTGCCCGCGGCTTGCTGCTGGGGAGGGTAGGGCCAGTCGCTTGTCACCTCCTGATGGTTCCCCTGGTACTCGGGTTTGGTCCCCGACCCTTGCCCGATATCCTGCCAGCCTCGACCGCGCCCTCCTCCTGTCCGCGGTGTGCTCCACGGGGGGTATCCGTGCTCCGGGCCCCTGCCAGGACCTCTGCTCGGCCCATACCAGCTGCTGCCCGTCTGCGGATGACCCGGACCGGTTCAGTTCGGTCCGACCAGGTTCGGTCCAACCGGTTTCGATCCGACCGGTTTTGGTCCGACCGGCTGCCCACCCTGCGACCAGCCCGGTTTCGACCCCGCGACCCAGCCCCATCTCGCCTCCTCTGGGCTCGGGTCCACCCATCCCTCCGGGTCACCAAAACTCAACTCCTCCTCCTCGGGCCAGGGTTCTTCTCTGTCAGGCCCAAATGACATTGGCTCTCCTTCGTACCCGGCCATCTTCTGCTTTCCTTGGGCCTTGTCTTGGGCCGGGTCCGTCGGAGTTGGCAGCAAGCCAGGCCCGCTGAATGCAGGCACGATTGCAGACCTGGCGCCCGAATTGCCCGGCGCCCCTCCTGACGCGGCCGTCCCCTCGGTCGCTCCGGCCTCGGTCCCGCCGCCCGGAGGGTTCTCCGCCCGCGTCCCCGGCCTGCCTCACGCCCGCGTCGCCGCGCGGCGCTCCCTGCTCCCCCGAGCCCGCCGCGGCGACCTCCGCCGGCTTCCCTCCTGCCGCGGCGGCTGCTGTCGGCGCCACCACTATAGCCGGAGCCGCCAGCGGCTCCCTGCTCTTCAGGACTTGGGTCAGCACCTCCTGCATTGTCGCCGCCAAGGCTCCACAGATGTTTTCAGCCACACTCTTGCCCATCTCTTCGATGGAGGCCTTAATTTGGTCGCCCATAGCTTCGATGGCTCCGATCGAGCCTTTCGAGGCCTCCGCTGCCCTCACAGTGACCTCGGTCAGACTCTCCAACGACGCTGCCAGCGCGTCATACTTGTTGTTCGTCACATCCTTGACTGTCACCACCTCTTTGGCCTGGCGCGGCGGTTGCTGTTTGTCCGCGGGGTTCGACATCGTCAGACTGTAGTATTTCTTCAGAGAATCGGCACACCAGCCAGGCTCTGATACCACTGAAAGAGCACGGATCTAGGTGTGCGATTGAGGATCGTGATTGGTATGTGAATTAGGGATTTGGGATGAGGTAGAATTGGGGAATTAGGGTTGAGAGAAGAGGTTTCCGGTCACCGGGATGGTGGCCGACGAGTTGGAGAGGGGAAGAGAGGGTTCGGCTATGATAGAGAGAGAGAGAGCTTTAGGGAATAATTCTGTTGTTATTGCTTAACCCTAGCTTATGCCTAACACAGAATATATATAAACCGACTAATTCCCTATAACTACCCAAAGACTTAACCTAACCGATTTAACCCCAATAGTTCCCAAAATAGCCGACATAATATAAAACGTCAAATAACAAATAAACCCCAAATTACTAAATGTCTGACAATGATCTTCTCTAAATTTATCTCCTACCATTCATCAATAGATGAGTGAAGAAGATAATGTAACAAAAGTGGCATGGTTTTTGTTTCTTCGATGCACTATGGTCAGACAAGTTGGTAGAGCTAGTAAAAGTCCAGTCCCTGATCGGGATAGTCTTTGCTCTAAGAATGGTTCGCCAGTTACCAAGTAGCTTCAATCTGGAGCTGGCTCGATTCTCCCAGTGGCTAAGAGTTCCCAATTGATTAGTGATGGACAGGTTTTAGTTAGCTGATTATTAGGATGTTGTAAACTCCTGCCTTATGGTAGTCCCTGTCAAGTTGCAGTTGCTTTTGTCTCTGGCAGGAGAATCCGGTGGATCGACAAAACAAGTTCCAAGAAGACTAGTTGAGAAGTCGGAAAATGGATATATAGCTGTGCTCTGCAGGAATTAATTCTTGATGGTGCCCGGGAAAAATTGCTGCTCTTAATCTGCTGGCAGAGTGGTAGGATACGCCGAAACGCATCCCTTCTTCTCCACCGGGTGGTGGTGCATTGAATTCAGGCTTGTGGTGGTGTAGGGAGGCGTAAAATAGAAAGCTATACTGTTTTTGGGTTTTCTTCTTTGATCTTCCGGTTTCTGTTCTGGCCTTTTGGGCGAACGTGAAATTACAGGGATTGTCACTTGCTCAGCTGGGATTCATGTTTTATTTGCAAGTAAAACTAAAAGTTTAGGGTGGATGTTGCCATGTTCTATACATGTGATGGAGGACAACGGAGAAAGCTCACAATCAGCCACGGTTGCCAGCCGTCTCGTACTTCTGTTGCTTTTTTTGAAGTCCTCGATCGTCGATTGATGTTGTTGCTGTCATCTTTACAAAGATGCTTTCATTTCTCTATTAGGCTATGAGTTTTCTGCCGATGTGTCGAAATTGTTCTTGCTGGTTGCTGACCATAAGATCTTATCTCCTCATTCAAAGACTATTATTTTTATAAGTGTATCGAAGATTAGAAAGTGACCAAAGTCAAATGAGGTCATGGTTTCTGTTAACCTTGCCGTGAGCAGCAAGCCATTCCAGAACAGTGCTGATCGTTTTGTGTGCAACCAGCGCGGATGGCTGCAGAGTTTTTTTTTTTTGAAAGTTCTCTGGTTTCTCTAGAACAGATCTTCCAACCTGTAGGATGCAGTAGGTAACCCAGTCGTTGGCGTTGTGCCGTTGTCTGATTGGTCATTGGTCGCTTCTTCTTCTTCTTCAAATGGTTGTGGGAAATGCAGTAGGATACAGCTCTATCTATTACTTTTAATCTTATACATCGATCTATAAATCAAATTGTGAAAAGTCTGCGATAATCTTCTTGTTCAGCATTATTTTCACCATTGGCTTTAGTAACAATTATAAAAACATTATAGTTATGAATACAATTCTACCTTTGGCCAATAAAAGAGCAGCTAGTTTTCTGTAAGTTTGCATTGGAATATTATTAGTATAAATTGATTAACTTCAATTTTTAAACAAACAATGGGGATGTAGCTCAAATGGTAGAGCGCCCGCTTTGCATGCGGGAGGTACAGGGTTCGATCCCCTGCATCTCCATAATTTTTTTGTTTAGATTTTCCTTGCCACCAGACCATCGGCGAGGATTTCAGGTGCCCCTAGGTGGTGATTCCTGTTATCAGTTCGATTTCATTTGTCTTCCCTTGTTAGGATGAGATGAGTGGTTTTGTTCACGTAAACTTCTCTTTCCGTCGGTTCTCTTAATGTCCTAGAACTCAGACTTGTGGGTTCCTTGCGTCACCGAAACCTTGCTACATATTCCCTTTTCTTGTTTAAGTTTGGATACCGGTGGGACAGTTGCTACCACCAATACGCTAGAAGCTCGACGAGGTTGCCAAGATAAACAGAAATTTTTGTGAGAAAATTGTTTCAGCTTTCGCAGCACTGAAGAGTTCCTCTCAATCAAAACTTTGCTTCCATCTTCTTCATACTTCCTTATCGTACCGTTTCACCGTGATTCCTCCGTCTCCATTGCCATCGGCCAGCAGAGCTAGGTTTGTCTCTGCTTGGCATCTGCTAATTAACTATTTCGAAAACCCAAATAAGAAAAGACAAGGTTAATTCTAGGGGGAAAAAAGCTGATCCTAATTAACTATTTTAAAAACCCACACTTGTCCGATTTTGAAATTCCATATACAAAATCCCTCAGTTTTAAAAAATCCTTCCTAAACACTTTATTTTGCCAAAATCCCTCAAAATGTGAGACACAGACTATGACAAAATTGCAAATCCTACACAGAAATATATCTCATCAAACAACCCCACAATCCATTTGTTGTAAAGTTCCTTCCTACCACGATCGGCTTACGCAACACCAATAATCCACTCACTCCCTTCGTGTTCTCATCTCACGACGGATGATTACTCAACTTGGTCTAATCACTGCCAGAGTTCTCAATTCACGCAACCAACGCAACAAACTCTCACATCAAAACCAATTCATACCTTTCATATCAACCCATCCATCCATCCAAATTTTCATCATCACATCAAATTCAGTGCAAGAAAGCATAAACAGCAGTCGAGATATAACACACGAGGGCAGAGGAAACCAGCAAGACCAGCGCCGCCACCGCATGAATCGCGCTCTTACTCCCGCACGACAGCAGCCCGAGCCGAATCTCGATCACGTTCACCATCGACAGGACCAGGAAAATGCATCCCATCACGGATCCAATCGCGGAGCCCATCATCCCGAACCTCAGAACCTTGAGATTGATGTGGGCCTTGAACGCCTCGTCCACGTCTTTACTGTTGAGCAGATTGATGGCCAGCTTCAAACCCTGCGCGATCAGCGAGGAGAAGAGGAAGAAGCTGAAGGAGACGACCTCGAAGACCAGAAGCTTCTTGGCCTCCTCGATCCCGGCGTCGCAGGAGGTCCGATTCTCGAGGCTGCGCTGGCCTGGGGTCGTGAAGGAGAGCCCCACGAAGACGGCGATTGTGAAGAGGGAGTTGACGTTGACCAGCCCGTCGAGGGCGGTGACGTGGACGCTCGTGGTGGCGCCGGCGGCGGAGGATGGGGATGAGTAAGATGCCCTTTCCCTTCTGCTGGTGGCGACCACATTCTCTTCGTAGTACGAGGTTTTGGGAGATCTGGGAAAACAGAGAGGAAAAGGGGGGGAAAAACAGAGCAATTAGGCAGAGGTTTATTGAGCTGAAAAAAGATTGAAACTTTTTGATTATTTGGGATGCGAAGGAGATGGGAATGAAATTATACAGCAGGGATTGGAACAATTCGTCATCAGAAAACATCTTGATCGGTTTTTTCAGATCTGGGTAGAGAATTTTTTTTTGGGTATTTCTACTTACTCTGCCATGGATTGGGGAAGGTTGTTGAAGCTTGGAGGGTTTGTGTTTCCCTCCTGCGGAAGAATGCGGCTTCTTGAGGAAATGGAGCTAGCTATTAGCTATATCGGCCTCATTGCTTGCGAGATGTGGAAGAATGTCGTTTGCATTGCTTGTGGGATTCGTTTATGAGGAATGCTTATGGGGCTTGTTAATCTTTCAGCTGGTTGCTTTGTCAGGAATGGGGGAAATTGGGGAAAGGGATGTATTGCTAACAGTACAGAACTCTGTGGATTTGGGGTTGGGGAGAAGGGAAGGGAAGGAAAGAAGGTTGGTGGTGTTTCACTAATTGGGGAAGAAGCCACTGCAGTCCCTCTCCGCCTTTCAGATACCTTCGTATTAGGGTTTCTTTTGTCTTTTAAATCACGTGTAGACGGTGTAGTTGTGTACTTGAAGAGAAATATTCTTGTCGGAAAGAAGGATAATGGTTAATCGAGATTGGATACTATTTCAGATTTTCAGCCCATATGAAAAAGATAGAGAGGAAAGAGTTACAACGGTCAAAAAAAAAAAAAAAAAATTGGAAATTGTTATTTGTCGTACTAAATTTATTATTGATTGTCCTAAATTTAATATGCAATTATGTAATTATCCATTTAATGTTCGAAGTCAAAACTTATAACATAAACACATTTCTTTTTCCACCCATTTTAATATTATTATTGATTGTCCTAATTGAAGTCAAAACTTGTGAAAGAAGCTGGTGCCACCTTCTTTTGAAATGTCAAACGGGAGGAGGGATGAGTTGGAAATCCGTGTCGGAGCATGGTCTTTCAAAGTTCTACCTAGCAAGCTCCAATTTGGACTTCACTTTGGGTTGTGAGAGATCCAAGTTCGAGCATCCTTCGTCTGTACCTCGGGCAAACCGCTCCACCATGAACTCTAATTCGCTCTTTGGCTCCTATTGTAGAGTGGCACATTCTCTTAAGGAATTCCCCATGAAGGCCTTCATTGCCAACTCCAACTTGGATTTTGCCTTGGGTTATGAAGGAAAATCTTCTTGATATCCCCATGAGCATGGTTATTCTTCTTGGAAGGGAGGTTGATCTTAGAACCCAGTTCCTTGGCTTCCACCCTCTTGATTACTCCATGAAGCTCCGGGGTACCCCATTCGGATGGTTGTGGATACCCCCACATGTTGTAGAAGTCAGGATTCATGATTCAACCTACAAATACAAAAAGAAAATCAAACAAACACAAAACACCCTTCAAGACGAAGAGTGGGTCAACAAACACAAAACAAAAAACAAAATGGCAAAAGTAACGACCTAATCCTTTTTCCGATAACCTAGAATGTTTCCCAGCAACGACACAAAAAACTTGACTCGGCTCTAACTACACATCCCAATCGACGGTCAAGCAAAACCGACGACCGAATGTAGCATAGGGTAAGCAAAGAATACAAATATCGAAGCACGAGTCTCCTAGGTGTACCTTACTTTGGCTTGAGATTTCGTTATCCAGCCAACCTAGAATAGTGATTAAGAAACTAACCTATCTACAATAACCTAACCATTACCCTAGCTAATTACAAGCGGTGGAGCTCTCTTAGCTTGAATCGCCCTAGTTCCATCATTTGGATCGATGTTGAGTACTATTCTAGCTCGATTTACTCACTACCCTACCGTTAGGAGATTGACTTACTCGGGCTTGACCTAGAACGACGAAGTGATGGATGGGTAGGTGCTCTATACAACCTAGGGAAACCCTATATCGTTATGAGATAGATCGAATAAACTTCGTCGGAGATTACCCAGACGACATATGATAGGAGTGACACTAAGATTCCAATAATGTGTTATAAGGGGATTATCTCCCTCCTAGGTAAAAAGCTCAATTGATGAAGTGGAATCCAAAATCATGCAGTTCATCAAAACCCATTCATCAAATAGATTAAATCATCTATCAAATATAGAATCTATCATGTACATCAACATCAAACCAAAATCTAGATCTAGGGTTCACTACCAAAGAAAAGAGGTCTAATAAATAGAGAGAAAAGAGAGATTACAAAATAGCTCAAGATCCTCTTCTTCTAGGGTTGAATCCTTAACTCCAAGATCAACCCAAGCCTCCAATTAAACTCCAAGATCTCAAGATCTCCATCTCTCTCTCTCTCTGCCCCTTTGGACGTTTTGGGTCGAAACTCTAAAGAAGAACCCTAAAATTCAAAACCAAGCCAAACTCTCCTTTCTCTCTCCCAAAGCTGCCTCTTCTATACAACCTGAGCCCCAACATCACGGGATAAAGATCACAGCCATGATCTCGACAGCCTGCCCGTGATCTTGACCGAAGACGCAATCGTTTTGGCTCATCATCATGGTCCGCTAGTAAATGTCACGATCTTGAGACCGCGATCTCGGCTCCGCTTGCGATCCATCCGAAGTCTCCTTTTCCTTAGCAATCTTCACGGCCAACGATCAATGTTCACGGGCTGGGACCATGGTATTTTCTCCCATCCCGTGATCTTTGCACTTTCTTCATACTTTGGCATTTTTCGACCTACATTCATCCTGAAATTTGTCCTCGACCTTTCCACACGTGTTAGGACCTGGAATGTATCGAAAGGAACACAACCTACCGTGAAATAAGTCAAGGAACGACGATTACCAAGTCACACGATCAAGAAATGAAGGATAAAAATAAATGTAATTATGCCCGAACCAATCTCCAAAATGGCGTCGTTTTTTTGGCCAATTAGTGCATTTTTAAAGGATGGTCAAAATCGTATGAAAACTAATCAGAATCACGATTTTACCTGTTTTATGCAATTTTAACAATTTCCTCCATGATTTTACTCGTTTTTTTTAATCTAAGCGACTTTAGGTAGAAACTGAATCGTTTGGGTGACCTAGATATGTAAAAATGTAAGTTTTTACGTTTTAATGTGGGATTTTGACTGCACTGGTCACTAGGCTTTGATTCATGGAAAGTGTCAGACCCCGTAGGTTTCAGTGGAGGTATTCTGGTTTTATGGAATGAGGATATGTTGAGCTTAGAGCTTTTGGACTATCAAAGGCAGTTTATCAACCTCAATGCTAGAAGGCGGTCTAAGAGATCAGTCAATTGATTGCACTCTATGCTAGCCCAAATGAACACAATAGCGGGGAGCTATGGGAGTCAACTGGAAGGATTTGAAGAGGTACAAAGATCCCCTCGATCCTGTTAGGAGATTTCAACTCCATTTTGAAGTCCTCCGAGAAGCAAGGGGGTGCCCCATTCAACTTTGGCGAGGTGAAAGACTTTAGCAAATGTTTAGACGAGAATGACCTCGTCGACTTGGGGTTTACTGGCCCTAAGAGACCCACAAGAGAAGGTTGGATACAAGTTCAAACTGACGAGTCTGTGATCAACCCTTTGGACAAGAAGCCGTTATTGGTCTAATAAGGGATCATCTAGGAAGTTGCTTGGGGGAGGGACGCGTTTCCTAGCAATCTTGGAAGAAGTGTCATCACTCAGGCTTAATTGAAAGGAGCTGCAAAAGAGTTGGAAATGACTTGGCAGCTCGTTAAAGAAGGGTTGAGCTCAACCTTGATTCAACTTTAACTCCGAACATCATCAAGAAAAAGGATCAATCTGATCACTGTCATGGACGCATTGCTAAGCTTTTTGAGAACATTCTTTTTTTTAGAGAGTGGAGTGTTGAAGTTAAACATATTTATAGCGAATGTAATTTTGTAATCGATCTCCTTATTTGTAAAGGTCGTTACCTTACTTTTGGTATACATCTCTCCGATAGGAGCAATCCAAACATTTATTATTGGCTTTTGTATGACAACATAGGCATTATCATGAGTGGTGATAATACTAATGATATGATCTAGAACGCTATTAGCGTATGTATTCAGCCCAACAAAAAAAAAAAAAATAGTCTAACCGTGACCGTCCATCCAAGCCTCCAAGGTCGAAGGCCCAGGGCCCACTTCCCAAATCTTTTCTCACATTTCCCGAAAAGGCGAGCGAGCGCGGCAGCAGAGAGAGTGTGACTTGCCCGAAGGCTGTTATTATGTCAGCAGCAGTCACTCAATTCAACGGCCTCATCGTCACCTTCTTGGCTTCTTCTTCCTCTCCCTTCTACCTGCTCCCCTGTCTGATCGCTCGCCCAATTTCTCCGTCTAGTTCCCTCCGCCGTCTCTCTCTCTAAGTTACGCCACGCGCTTTCCGTCTCCGCCGTGTTCCTAGGCCGCCGTTGGTAATTTCGGCTGGTGCTTCTTGATTTGCTTTAATCATCACCCGGCCGCGGCACTAGGTTCGATCCATTTTGGTGAAACCTAGCTGGAAAGAGTGCGGCAAGGCTTTAAAGAAGTAATTGAAAAACGATGACCGATTTTTTCACTTCAAAGCATTCCGCCGCTGCCGCCGCCGCAAGTTCCAGACTCTTCTTTGCTGCCGTCCGGAGCACATTCCGCTTACTTCCAACTGTACGCCTTCTATGCTTCTCTGTCTCTCTATTTCGTTTTGTTTAATTGCGTGTGGTTGTTAGATTAGTATAGTTTTTCTTGTTGTTGCCTTTACACGAAAGTCTAAAGAGGGGAAGAAAGGCGAATATAGAATTCGTTTTGGGAATGGAAGAGCTGGATTGATATCGGATATGCTTGGAATAAGGTGCCATGGTGGTGGTGGTGAGGTCATGATGTGGATGATAATTTGGATGGTTTGAGAAACAGCCATTGACGGTTTCAGAAGCAGGGTGAATAAGTTTAGGGGTTCTTGCGGACAAGTAGGGCACAAAGGGACAAATTGAAGGTTTAGGGATAAGGAGAAGTAGGCATGGTGGGGTTAACAAAGAGGGATGGAGGGAAGAAAGCCTTTCCTTGCCTTTCTCCTTTGGTCTTTCTTTCTCTCGCAGGTCGTTTTCAATCTGCAGTAAGTAATGGTCGTCATCAGTGGGTGTGGGTTGGCATCCTCATCATCATCCACTCCTCCATTGTTATTAATTAGTTTCTTTTGGTTGCCTTATCTGAACTGATTGATTACTGGATCACTCTCGTACTAATTCCATGGGAGCATCCCCCTGTCATGCAGTTGTTCATACCCCTTTTTAAAATTGCATCTTCTTATTCGAGTTCTCTTGCATCTGATCAATATGAAGCTTCCTCTCTATTCCTTGTTCACTGCACTATTTTCTAAGGAGAGCTAGGAAAGGTATATTTGCTAGGAGACAACTGATTCATTTCCCCCTTTTTTTTTGGATCTTTGGTTGATGTTAGAATTGTGGACTTTCTGTCACATGGGTGCTCTGATAAGTGACGGTGAGATGTGGAATGCTGGGTGCTGATTCCTTGTTTTTAAAACCATTTCCCTCATTCATATGTCATTTGGCCACCAGTTGGACGATGGTAACCCACTTGCCCATTGTCTCGTAAAATAATGTTACCATTACCAAGTTAGGTTGCATCTGTCACTACTACAGTGAAATTGATGGCGTCTGGGCTGCTGTCTGGTCTGGAGAGCTTCTGTCGTTACTTTCATCTCCAATCTTTTAACATTTACGCGTGACCAAACAAACATCACACCATTTAATCAATCAGCTGTCTTTTTCCTTCACTATAGGAACAAGCGGCCTTCTGTACCTTGATGTGTATGGATATCCGGCAATCATTCGTCTTCTTCCTTAATTACCCGACTTTGCTTCATCTTCTTGATCGGAGTTGTCAGTTAAATCATCATCGTAGTCGTCTTCTTCATTTCGTTGCCCCTGGTTTCTTGGAAGCGAATTCCAATAGCTTGAAACCCTTTGAACAATCCTTCCCTTCACTTGTCCACTAGTGACTTTCTTAATCTCTCTACTTATCCTGCCATTCATGATGCTCAAGATTTTCTCGAGTCTTCATCTTCTTCCTCTGTATGAATGTCTGGTCTATTGTTTCTCTCATCTTCCCTGATTTGCTGGCTGTGCTGTCACTTTGTTGTTTGAAGCAATCAAACTCTTCGTAAAACACAAAAGAGAAGTTGCCAGAGCAAGAATATGTTGGCTAACTCATCACTGAGTTGTACTGCAACAACTATGTCAGCAGTTCCGTGTGCTCTTCGTGCTTGCAGGTGATTGCCTTATCATCCTTCTCTGTACTCTGCAATTTTATAGTAATTGTTGATATTGCATCGTGCTTGTCGCAGTGCTAGTTTTTGTGATCTGTTCTTATAAATTAAATCTAGAGGTGAAAGATGGATTTTCTGGTGGTCAAACCCCAATATCCCTTTTATTCTTTACACGGTGATCATCAGGTATGATCATGATCGCCTTTGGATGCCGAGGAGGAGGACCCTTTTCCCTTGGATTAGAAATGTGACTGCTATTGTTTCAGCTTCAGCATCCCCTGTTTCACCCGATCAGATGACCAGGGGCTCAACCCACCTCAAAATGTATCAGGAGGTTGATTTGTACCCCATTTAACACGCATCTTAGCTTACCCCATTAATTTTCTTTATCACACTCGCATAATATTTTGCCTTTGCTTCCCTCCTTCGAATATCACATATCCAGATGTCCTGTGGGACTTCCTGCTCATATAATCCTCTATCACCTACTCTGGCTAATCTTGTGTTTGTTGGTTTGAATTCAATTGCTAGGTTGCCAAATCTGCAAGGCAAAAGTTCACCAAAGAAATTTCATTCCAGTCGAAGGACAAAGACATCTCTCTAGCAAGGGTATATTGATATTCTTTAAATCATCTACTGGAATTTACAGTTTTATATGTGGCATTTCTGGTGTGACATGTTCATCACAATTGTGGGACGTTTTTCTTTTTTGCTCTTTGCCCCCCCCCCCCTCTCTCTCTCTCTCTCTCGTTATGTTTACTGTTTGTGCGTGTATTATTTCCCAAATGCACGCCTTGCCCAAGGCGATTGCTAGAAGTCCATTCTTTGAAGTGTAAGTCGTTGAAAGATATGTTTTATAAGTTAAGTTCTTTGCTTTCTTTGAACAAAGTTGCTACCTACTATCAGAAGATTCTAATCCTTGGTTGACCAATTTGATATGTGTAGGCTCTGCTCTATATTGCTGCAGAGGATGAGGCCTTCGTTGCTTTCAATCAAGAGGTGGATGCTCGTTCACTGCTCAATGAGAGAAAAAATCTTTCGGTGCCATCTCATGCTCAGGAGTGGGATAACGTGGAGCAGATGCCATTATCTGGGAAGACAATAACTGGATGGCTCGGAGAGTTGGATATGATTGCCAAAGAAGTTGAGGCGGAGCTAGTCTCAAGAGAGATAGGCTGTGATCTGGTTGAAGTTCTGGATGCAATAAACTTGGTTCTTTTTGAATTCAGAGGGTTCAAGAGGTCATCTGTTACGGATTCTATGTGTTCATACTTGCACACTTTTTTGAGCACTGGTTCTGGCAACGGTAAATATCACATGTTTTAAATGCAATCATCATTATTGTTCTAAATACTTTTGATTTCTTAGTGTAGTCTAGTCTAAATTTGAGTAGCACAATTCCCTGACGTAATCCTTATCTTTCTGACAGCAATTTTGCTTAGCATAGTTTACATTGAAGTTTGTAGAAGACTCGGCATAACCATTGTGGGATCCCGGGTCGGGGAGGATTTTTTAATATGGCCCCAGACAGGGAATCCAGAGGTGCTTTAATCTTGCAACCTCATCTTTCTCCAATGTAGTTGCAGTGAAATATCAGTCACTTCACTGTTGTTGGAACAGTACTATTCCGCCTCATTGTGCTGGATAATGATCTTTCTGGGTATCTTTGTCTATGTTTAGGAGCTTTTCAGGGTGACTGAAGGACACAGTATGTTTGCTATTGTTAATGGCAAGTGTGTGGAGGACCCTAGGTCAAGGGCATCAGACTTAACCAGCGGTTCTCTTTTAGGACTTGAGATTGCTACAAACCGAGACATTATCGGGATTGCTCTGGCAAATTTGATCGTAAGTTCCAATCCTATAATATGCATATTTGTTCAATAGAATTTTTTTATGGTTTTTTTTTATATCTCTTTCCAACTTTGTCCAAATAGTTTCGTGTTCTATGACTCTATCTTGCTGGTGGTCAGTAAAAACACATTTTCTGATGATTTGTAGAGGCTCCACTGGAAACGTGCTTCAAGGTCAACTCGTGGATTGATGTTGACTTCTCCTCTCAGGCATGTTCAAACTACCAAGGAATTGTTATGCAGTATCCATAATTCCAATGTTCCTCTGCTTCGGCCTCAAGATCTCAGGTTATATTCTGAATTTCTTTGTCAGACTTTTTGTCCACTCTTTTGGAAACACCAATTTAACTCTTCTTTAACTTCATTCAAGTATTTAACCCATGCAAAATAAAAGTCTTGACCATGGTATAAGACTTAGGTAGGGTTAAGATTCAACTTCTGATTACTCTTTCATTTGCTACTGCTTGGGTTTCCTAAAATAACTGAAAATAAATTCATTGTTGCTGGCTGGTTGGGAAGAGTTCTTGTCTATATACATATTGTAACTAAAAGGCATAATTCTAAGTTCCTATTATCCTGTTGCAGCCTCGTAAGTGTATTGTCAATGTCATTATACCATACAGTATACTTTCTCCAGAATGCCAATCGATATTTACTAAAATGCGGCATAGACAAGTCGTCTGAATGTTTGTTGGAAGTTTTGTTTTTTTGTTTCTGTTCCTGTTTCCGGCGATGCATATTGATCTGATCTGGAAGCAATTCTTGTTGACAGAAGGGCAATAATGGCTTCAGAAAGGCTCTTGATTCTGCAGCCACATAATTGGTCATTGAGGAGAGACCATGGCATGATGTTGTACTACAACAGGTAAAGCTGCTGGTGATGAATCGGTTTAAATTTGTTACTGGAACATCATATATTATTCGCGTGTATGACAATGATGTGGTTGATTGATGGGCAGGGAGTACGGGAAGGCAGTGCAAGAGCTGAGTATTTGTATGGCTTTTGCTCCAGAGGAAGAAGCACAAGTTCTCGAACCGTTTGTTGAGAAACTGCACCTCTTACGGCTTGAGTCATCCTGGAAATCCTTAGGCCATTCGGGTCAATTGACTGTTTCTTAATGACCCCCCATCCCTCGTAAGCTTCTGAGTACGTCTGTTATGTGAATATATGTAACTTCTATGGTTAGTGATATGCATATACTCGAGGAATGCTTCATTGCTACTAATCTGTTACCCTATGAAATTCGAGAATGACAGACCTTTCTAAGGATCCAGGTAACAAAGGCTCAGTTCCTCTGCTGTATCAGTTCCACTGAAAATGATGAATAGGACTCGTGAGGTAGCGAATGGGTTGGATGGTGATTTCTCAGGTTGTCTATTAACGAGGTAGGATTCTAAAAATATAGGTACTAAATTTAAGGCTAAAAATATAGGTACTAAATTTAAGACTAAAAATATTAGGTTATAAATTGTAATTTAGATGCTAGATTTACGTGACTATGTGAAAGTTATGTAAGAAATGAAAGGCGTCAGGTAGGGGAGTGGAAATTCGTGAGAATCCTCTGGTAAGATCCGAACCGGATTAAATTTGTGAGAATTGTTGTTCACTAGTGTAAGAAATGTTAGGATTAAGAGTCGGATGAATAATTATATTTGGTTTGGTTTAGTCTAATTTGGTTCGCTTCAAATATTAGTTAGGTTCATTTTTTAAGTATTCATAAAAGCGAAACTAAAAACTAAATCACATTATATTCGAATCGTTATGATTTAGTTCGGTGTACTACAATATCTTAGTACCTACCAAATAGTTGCACATCCCTACCATTGGTTTATATTATGATGAAAACCCATTTAGCCACCAATTAACGGGATATGGGTATTTGGATTGAATAGGTGAGAGTGGTTTGGGTTGGGTTGACTTGATGAGTTCGGTTGATATTTTTCGCGTGGTGAGACAAATTAAGTTGTAGGTCTAGCCGTCAAGATAAGAAAGCAAAAGTTTTATCACTTTTAGGAGAAGAGATAAAAGATAATTTGAGATAGGTGTGTTTGTGTTGAATTTTGGTTGTCACTTTAACCCCCTGTTCTGGAGCGAGGGAAAGAGGAGGGGAGGGAAAAAGAGGATGGAAAGTGTGGTTACCAAGGAATTTTCCCCCGTTCTAGAAGGCAGTAACAGTGCGGAGGGAAAGGAAAGAGGAGAGAATATCTCCTGTACAAACCGACCCTCCAAAAGGGAGGGAAAATGACTCTTCCCTCTAATACGCGTCCTTTTTTCATTCTTTTTTTCTTTTCTTTTCACATCGTTTATCTTTCCTCATTAATCAAATGGTAATAAATAATGGTAGTAAATAATTATTAAAAAACTCTCTTTCCTTATAAAAGTAACCTACCATTTATTCGTTTATAATACAAAGTCATTCTTTCTCTTTCCTCTTTTCGTAATTAAAGATTTTAATAATTATCATTAATGAAAGAAGTAATTAGTAAGAGATATAACGTTGTCTAGGTTTATTTTTACAATAACAATTGTTCTTGGTTATTAAACATAAAAATGTGAGAAATATAAAGAGTAAAGGAGGGAAAATAGTGGTTACGGGGACAACTGTCAGATTTCTTAAGGTTGATACAGATTTTTTGGATTGCAACTAAAGAAAATATTGACATGATCGATTACGGTTAGGATAACAATTGGTTGATTTATCAATAAATTGATTATAACTATGTTATAAGTTGCTAATCTTCTACTTGAATCTATACTTGCATTAGCTAATTTATCTTTAATCCTCTACCATTACAAGTACTTGAACTGTTTTCTTCTTTTCCATTATATATTGTATTTAGGAATGGAAAAATAGACGAGACCGTTAGAAAAATCGTGGTTCAAACCGTACTACATAGTTTGGTCCGGACCGTAGACCGTTAAATATAGTTTGGTCTGTTTCATGGTCTGTATTATTTTATATGTTTTGATCTCTTGGTCTGGTCTGGTCTAGACCGCGGTATACCAGACCAAACCGTGGACCCAACCGATTTGTCAATACGTGTTAACAACTCATTCGACCACTCTCCCAGCTCCCACAACGACATCCAAGTCTCAACCTTAGTTTTGTGTATCTCGTCCCTCCTTCATTCACAACCACATTTACCCAGAGAGTAGAGATGATCATGTCTCCATATGACATTATGTTAATGTTTATGACGTTATGGTGCAAGTTGAGATGCTTTTACTTTGTATCTTTGTTATGTACTAAGATTTAGGGTATCAAAATTATTCATGCATGTTAGGATTTTTGTTTTAAGGCATATAACAATTATTTTTCTTGGTTATTGGTTCAATTTCTTGTGTGGTTGAATAAACAAATTATTCATTTTTCGTTGAGTGTGGTCTATCTGGATCAGACCAGACCGAACCAGACCGCCAGGTGTGGTCTGGTCTATGGTCTATACTTCATCCTCTCGTTCTGGACCATAAACCGTATATATGGTCTAGTCTAGACCAGACCGCACCGTTTCCCAGTCCTAATTATATTCACCATTATAAAAAAAAAATTATCTTTAATGCAAACACCGATTAATTAGTAACACCTCTGTTTTCAGGCAAGCGATCTTTCGATTACAGGGGTAATAACGGGGAAGACGGAGAGCGAATCGGGGAGCTGCTAAAGGAGTTTATGCTTTTATGCGGCGAGTTCGTGCCATCTGATATGCTGCCGTTTATGCGATGGACGAATTGGCTTCCGGGTCCTGTCAAATCCATGAAACGCAACGCGCGAGAATTGGACGCGGTGATGCAGAGCTGGGTTGAGGAACACAAGCTGAAGAAGATCAGGCCCGCAAACAATCCGGAAGGAAGTATCAGCAACGAACATCACGATTTCACAGACGTGATGCTGTCGCAGATTGACGAGGATTTCTGCCACGAGCATTCCCCTGAAACAGTTATCAAGGCAACCGCAATGGTATACATCCATTTGTCTTCCTCACTCGTATTATTTATAATTGGGATTGCCCTCTCTAATCAAATCAAACCTCTCTCTTGCTCTGCTTTTTTACAGACTCTAATTCTAGGCAGTGCCGAGACCACCTCCGTCACCATGACATGGATCCTGTCCAACTTGCTGAACAACAGGCGCGCGATGGAGATCGCGCGACAAGAGCTGGACAGCAAGGTTGGCAGGGCTCGGCTAGTCGAGCCCTCGGACATTGGCAAGCTCGTCTACGTTCAAGCCATCGTCAAGGAAACGCTCCGGCTGTACCCTGCCGCGCCAGTTGGAGTCCCACACGAGGCGATCAGGGACTGCAACGTTGGCGGCTACCACGTCCCCAAGGGCACCCATGTGTTTACCAACCTGTGGAAATTGCACAGGGACCCAAATGTGTGGTCCGACCCAGATGAGTTCAAGCCGGAGAGGTTTATTGTTGCCGGCGGCGGCGACGGCGACGAGAGTTGTGTGGATGTTAATAATTACCAATTCATGCCATTTGGGGCGGGGAGAAGGTCGTGTCCGGGGATGGGGTTGGCGCTTCAAGTTCTGAATCTGACACTAGCGAGGTTGCTTCAGGGTTTTACCATTACTACTCCAGCGGGCGAGGAGGCGGTGGACATGGGAGAAGGATTGGGGTTTACTTTACCTAAAGCCACTCCGCTCAAGGTTCGGATTGTTCCTCGGCTCCTTCCCCATCTTTATGAATCGTAAGATTGTTGGATCTTCACCTTCAATAACCTATCACTGGTGGAGCTTAGTTTTCATGGTATTTCTACTCAGAAATAACTATTCACACAAAAAAACTATGGGGTCGTTTGGTTTTGGTGATAGTTAAATCCATGTATTGTCATCGATGCATGCATAAGAATATACATGTATATAAGAAAATTTGTGTATTGTAAGTTTACATCGTTTGGTTTCTGTGATAGTTATTGTAGTATTTAAATAAATTATATCACTTTTTGGGTGAAATATCACTTTTACCCTTTGCTTTTAATATAAAAAAGCAACACACATAAAAAGGTAGGGACATATTTGGAAAGAAAACACAACTATCTCCATCAAACAATCTCTACGAAAACTTGATATTCCTACCACTCATTTTTTTAGTGATGGTTTGTGTCAAATCAAGCAAACAATGCATATATTGTTTGCGCGGAAAATAAGGGGAAAAAACTATACATTGTGAACATTGCATGCATTGTAACTATTCCAACCAAACTATCACCAAAACCAAAAGACCCATATATTGTGAAAAAGTTGTTAAAAGACTCTTTTTCTCTCTATTTTTTCTCCGATCATTTGTCGGATTGTCCGAGGGAGGATACTCTTTTTCTTGGAAAGATCCTTCTAGGATAACTGCTTGATTAATAACGTAATCATTTCTATTATATACGTGAGATCATATGAAAATTTGACATATACTCTTAGCAAGAAATGGTCAAGAAGCATGATGATTGATCTACGAGACATCTCAAGAAATGGGAGTAATGAAAACTAACTTTTTCTCAGATATTTGCTGATTAAATGGTTGGATGTGGTAATAACAAGATAGAAGATAGGTACTAATTTGTTTGAAGGAACAAATTTGTCCACCGGCGCATTGCTTAGACAGTTAGACCCGAAGCCAGAAAAATCCAACGAAGAGGCCGTAGCTAATTTATCTTTCCTCATGTGGTTCTGATTACTCTTAGCCAATAGTAAACGTCAAGCCTACGCACTCATTCTCTCCTGGTTCACCAAATCCCAGAGGAGCTCCAATTCGCCACTCAACTCTGCCACTCAGTCAACTCTGCCTATATATCCCCCTCCGGCTGAACTTCGCTTAATTCAAACAAACGAAAAAAAGACCATGGAGCTGCTGCTCTTCTCATCTGATCCTCTCCTAGCGATTTCAGCACTGACAATAACAATAACCCTGTTCTTGTTTCTCAGGTTCGGTCCACCATTCCTGATCAACAGAACCAAGTCGTCATCACCACCGCTGCCGCCAGAGCCATCAGGCGGCCTCCCAATCGTAGGCCACCTCCTCCAATTCATCTCTTCAAAGCAAACCCTGGCCCAAGCCTTCGCCGACATTGCCGACCGCCACGGTCCCATCTTCACGATCCGGCTCGGCGTCCACTGATGGGTTGTAGTAAGCGATCCCAAGACGGTTCAGGAGTGCTTTACGGCCAACGACAGGGCCTTAGCCTCTCGCCCCTGGTCAAGCCAGGCCGAATTCCTCAACTACCGCTGCGCCGGGTTCGCCGCAGCGCCTTACGGAACCTACTGGCGCGACATTCGGAAGCTCGCCGTGACCCAGCTGCTGTCCAGCCACCGGCTGAAGTCTCTGGCGCACATCCAGGTGTCGGAGATCAACATGTTGGTACGAGAATTGCATCGAATGTGCCGCCGCGGCGGCGGCGTCGTGGGGATCAGCGAGGTGATTGAGCAGATGGGTTCGAACATGATTACGAGGTTGATTGCAGGGAAGAGGTGTTTCAATTACAGGGCGGCAGGGGCAGGGGATGGTGGTGGCGGCGGCGATGTTGGTGGTCTCGTGGAAGGAGAGCGAATCGGGCGGCTGATGAGGGATTTCATGCGTGTGTGCGGGGAATTCGTGCCGTCGGATATTGTGCCGTTGTTGGGGTGGATGAATTGGATGCCTGGTGGTGGGGTTTTGAAATCGATGCAGAGGATTGGCAAGGAATTGGACGTGGTGATGCAGAGTTGGATTGAGGAGCATAAACAGAGGAGGAGGAGAGACGACGAGGAGGAGCAGGGTGATTTCATCGACGTGATGCTGTCGGCGATTGGCGATGATTTCGCCGAGGAGTACTCGCCGGAGACAATTGTGAAGGCCACTGCACTGGTAAACTCACTCTTCATCTCCCTCGAAAAAAAATTGACGGTAGAAAGTGAATTAGTGAGACCATCAACAACCATGAAATAGCCTATCTATTTCATCTCTGGCTTCTACTCCCACCTATACACTTTTTACGATTTCATTTTTTAACACCCATTTTATCTACATCCATGAAATCTATCTCCAATTTCATATGGTAGAACCTCATTCACATAAACGATATAACTGAATAATTTATACACTCTAACCAATTGAAAATGGGTCCACTTGCTACCCCCTACTCACAATTTCATTTGCTCTTCCGTCTAATGAAATATTTCTTTATTGAAATGGGTTACTACAAGTCTACAACCATGAAATGGCAAATGACATTGCCATGTCACTTTGAAATGAAGAAGAGAGGGCCGATGCAGCTGCTCTGAAGCAATTGAAAATAGATTTCTTGTTTTCGTATAGGCAAATAGTACACAATTATCAAATACTTTTCGTAACTGGGTACAACTTTGGATTTCCCGTGACTTCTATAATCCATTTCATTTCCATTCATTTCTATCACACGATGCAGACGCTCATTTTAGCAGGTGCCGACACCACGTCCATCACCGTAATCTGGACCCTCTCCAACTTGCTAAACAACAGGAACATGTTGGAGCTTGCTCAACAAGAACTAGATGTGAAAGTTGGCAAAACTCGCCCGATGGAGCACTCCGACATTAGTAGCCTCATCTACCTCCAAGCCATTGTCAAAGAAACCTTGCGCTTGTATCCGCCCGCCCCAACAGCGATTCCGCACCAAGCAACGGAGGATTGCACCATCCACGGCTACCGTGTCCCCAAGGGCACAAGGGTGTTTGCGAATTTGTGGAAGCTGCATCGAGATCCAAATGTGTGGTCGGATCCTGATGAGTTCAGGCCAGAGAGGTTTCTTGTGGATCAACTGCAAGGGCATGATAGTAATTTGATCGATGGATTGTCTACCAAGAATTTTGAGTTGGTCCCGTTTGGATCAGGGCGAAGGTCGTGCCCAGGAGAAGCTTTTGCCTTACAGATTGTGCACCTCGCCATTGGAAGGTTGTTGCAAGGTTTTGACATTACTAATCATGTCGGTGACAATCAACCGGTTGATATGGCTGAAGGGCAAGGCTTGACCATGCCTAGAGCAACTCCATTGGAAGTTAAAATGGTGCCTCGCCTCTCTCTTCACCTCTATGAAGTTTGCTAGACTTGTAATATATGGTGATGAATGTAATGCTTAATAGTTAATACTCATTTCTTAAATACCATGTTGGTAAGCAGTGAAGAAGCAAAAAAAAAAAAAGACATCCAAGTTTCTTCGACTTAAAAGACAGTACTAATTTTATATTTTGATAAACTCAATATAAAGAATTATATAGCAAATGCTAGTATTTATCCAGCGTATAATATATGCATGCATTCATGCCTATTATATGTACTTTAACATGATTCGACGAATCACGATATTGCTTATTATGAATTTCTAAATTGATCTTATGTTTTCGGTTTAGACAATGAAACTTTAGGGTTTACCTATTAGAGGTTAGAGTATGTTGTAATGTTCCGTACTCTAATTAATTCATAGCGAGACTCTCAGGGATAGTATGTATGGTATAATATTGGAATTTGTGGATTGTCGAGAGGGGGAAAAAACCCTCAATATGTGCCTTGCAACTCTCTACCCTACACTCCAATCTTCCATTGTCGGCATCAAGTCGGCGGTGCGCCCATTCCTGTTTAAGTTTTCACGGTGACGCATTCTGCAACTCCAATTGCAAACTGCGAAAGGTGTTTTTTGCTATGAAGTTAATCATGAAGTATCTTTATAATTGGTTGAGTGACCAATTTATCAATGATTGTTTAGATGTGTGCATAAAAAAAAGTTTGATTTGCGAGTTGCAACATAAATGACAAATAAATTTTACAAACCTTTCAAAACATAAAAAGTCATCGTGGTTTGTTGTACAAAACTGAAATTGTAAACTTTGTAAATTAAAAATTTATTTATTTTATTATTTATTTTTGAATTGTTATAGCCCATGAATTTGGATTTATACTCATACACATTTGCATATTACAGTACCTAAACTTAATAAATCTGTAGATTTAGTACCTTTTTCGCATATAATTCCACAAAATATCGATGGAAAATCATATTTTAGTATCTAAAATTATTGTGTATTACATTTTCATATACAAATTTTTAACTTTTACAAATAGGTCCAATTTTTGTATGTGTAGTTAAAAACAACCCCAAGTAAATGGGTATCCATACCCAACTCATGCCCATTTAAAATATGGAAGCATATCCATACCCTACTCAAACCTACCCCAAACCCCTATATAATTCACACATACTCTACCCATAATCAATGAGTTTTCTTGGGTGTGTGGGTAAACTTAACCATGAGTGGGCAATTACCAACCTACGAGCCATCTTAATTTGTTTCTCTTCTAATTGGATTCAAATAGTGGATCCTATTTTACATTACCTTCCCTAAGTTTGGTTTCACTTTATAAATTGGTTTTCTAATATAGAATTTTAGAAGTGTCAACTTCAACTAAATTTATCCAATAAAATTCCAACTAACTCAATCCATTTAAACACAACAAATTTATTCCAAATCCAACTGAATTGGTGGATTTATGGATCAGCATAAAATTACAGTTAATACTTTTTTTTTTACTTTTATAATTTGACTCATTAATATATTCGTTTGAATTTTTCATACAATACAATAGAAGTGCACGGGCTATGAATATGCTTAAAGCATATTGTAAATAACCGTTTCACATGTATGAATAAGCTTAACACATGTCATGAATCCCCTAGGTCGTTTGGAAGTTGTTATTTCAAATGGTATATTGAGCTAATTTATGTATTTGTGAGATAAAGTTGTTTTTGGCTTATATTGAACTAGAATACATGCATTAACTTTTTGGAGGTCCCACCACAATCACTCATAATTGAGGGATTATCAATCTCTACTTTTTATTGAGATTCTTCACAATCATTCAAAATTGACTTTTGTGGCTTTACAACAAACCACAATCTAAACCTCCAAACAAGATATTTTCCTAATACATCAATTGATTCAATACATTAATTTGAAAAATCACAATTTCCAAACGATTTACTAGATCTCTTGAGTGAATATATGTGTTAGCCATACAAACAATAAAAAATTAAATGTCCTAAAAGTAAATGATTGGTTCAGTGGTATTATCAATTATAAGATCTAAAGTTCGAATATCTGAAGTAGCACATAACTATAAAAACAAACATATATCATCCTTATATAAAAAAATCAAGCTTGGTCTTATTAGGTTGAAAAATTGAAAGTAATTTGTTCACAAAATTTCAATAAAAATTAAAAACAATGGTTTAAACCTTAAAAATCATGACAAAGTATAAATTGGCAGAAGCTGGTTGTGAGCGCGAACCCATATTGTCTGCATACGACAGGAAGCAAGAGGCTAAGGAGATACCTAATTGATGTATTGTGAACTATATATGTATAATATTATATATGTAATTAAGAAAATTGGTGTATTGTGATTGTTAGACCAAATATTGAGGCACATGGGTCCCAAGCCCACAAAGTCATTAAAAGCCCATGAAAGGTAAAGCCCACCCGAACGGGGGCATAAGCAACTTCGAAGGCGGTTCTCGGCGGGCCTCGGATGGAACCGCCCGACACCCGGACCTGCCCAAAGAAGAAGACCGCCCGACAAACCGGTCTAACGGACTTCTGTCCTTTGGGTACGGAGTCTGACAAGAGACATGACCAGAGCGAGCATTTAATGAAGGCAGAGGCGACCTCGAACGCCCGACAAGCTATTAAATGCGCGTAACACCCTCAGAACTAGTATAAATACCCAATGATAGAGCTCATTTATGGTAACTTCTACCAACTCCATTCTCTCTCTTATTTACTTTCTCCTCACTTCTCTCTCTAACTTAAGCATCGGAGGAGGTCCCAGGAACCCCCTGAGGACCTTTCTGCAGGGTTTCGAAGACCGCCCCCGACCATCGAAGCCGCCCAAGGCCAGTGGAGTCTCACAAACCGCTTGGTACATTCCAGGCACAAACATTTTGGCGCCCACCGTGGGGCCCTACTACTTTGTGGCGAACAAGATGGGAGACGATTTCGAAACCCCCCTCAAGGGGATGACCGAAAACAACACCCTTCGAGGCTTATCACCGAGGGTGGAAGATGAGCCCGAGTTGGAAGAGGTGGTCAAGAACCAAGGGATGCAGATTGCAAGCATGCAAGACAGCCTTTCCCAAATTCTTCAACTCCTGAAGACCCGAGACGACCCCGCCGAGGGCTCGAGGGGAAAGGCGCGCGACGAGAAGCTGAAGGGCGCTCTCGTCCTCGACAGCCCTGCTCGGACAGAAGGCGGAGGACTAGACGCCGACGACCCGGACCTCAACTTTCTAGAGGAACACCTGCGGTCAACCTTTGGGAAGCACAAGAGCCCGAACGTTCTGCAGAACCCACTATCGAGAGAACTCTTCAAGACTCCGGTCCCCCCGAACTTCTCCTCTTTAGGACTTCCAACCTATGGAGGGACGTCCGATCCCGCCGACCATCTTTGCGCGTTCATGTTAAAAATGCAACTCATCAACGCGACAGACTCGGATCTGTGTCGTGCGTTCCCGGTTACCTTCAGCGGTCAATGCCGCACTTGGTACACCTCCCTTCCGGAGGGAATTATAGAAAACTTTGAGCAGTTTGCGATGCTCTTCTCCACCAAGTTCGCGTCTCAACGACGTCGCAAACTCACCGTCTCGGCACTCATAGGTTGCCGACAAAGGAAGGAAGAGTCGCTTGCCGAGTTCTACGACCGATGGAACGCGATAGCTTGCGAAATAGACGGTATCTCCCCAGTCGTGGCCGCCGGAAACCTCCGAATCTCGACAACTAGTCTCGAGCTGAAAAGAACATTGATAAAAAAGGAGGCGACCTTGGCGGCCTGGTCTGACTTAGACCAACTGGTACGACGAGCGATCTTGTTGGAAGAGGCGCTAGCCAACGACGACCGAGGTCACCAAAGCCGCCCCAGAGGAGACGCTTCAGAGCGTGGAGAACCTCGGAGGGGAAGGCGGTCCCCGGACCGAAGGTCGTACCGGAACCGGTACCCCGACCGAGAAGGAAGAAGAGATGTCCTCTCCACCGACAGAGAAAAGGGAAGGGACCGAAGGAAAGGCGGAAGGTGGCACGAGACGTCTTCCGTCCAGGAGCCGCAAGAAGGAAAAAAGTGGTGCGACTGGCACCAAATCACGACCCACGACACCACGGAGTGTAGAGAGTTCAAAGCCACGCTCCGACATCTGGCCCCGGGAGACCTCAGAAGCAAGTTAGAAATGAGGCGGTCCCACAGAGAACACTCGGCAGAGGAGCGGGAGGAGTCCCCAAGTCCCGAGCAGGACAAAACGAGACGCTCGAGAAAAGAAAGATCGAGATCCCGCTCTCGAAACAAGGTCGCCTCCCCGAGGCAATCTCCTCCCTACAGAGCCCCTCGAAATGAAGACGATGGGATGGAGGTCATAACGATTGCAGGAGGCCGGAAGCGCCCAAGAACTGAAGGAGACCGCATCGCACATTGTCTTAACGTGCAACGGAGAGCTCCGACAGAGGTCGCCTTCCTACCGTCCGAGTTAGCCAGCGAAGAAAACTCGGAAGACCCCTTGGTCATTTCTTTTCGAACCGCCAAGTTCAAGGTCACTAGAGCCCTGGTCGACAATGGGAGCTCGGCGGACATACTATTTTACTCCGCGCTCAAAGGGATGAAAAAGAGCGTCCAGGATCTTAACCCTTCCACCACCAGCTTGGTAGGGTTCTCGGGCACCAAAGTCCGGGTCCTTGGCTCGATCACGCTCAAAGTCACCATAGGAGAGGGAGGAATCACCAAGACCAGACCCGTAGAGTTTCACGTGGCGGATTGTCCTTCGGCGTATAACGCCATTCTTGGACGCGGCTTCCTGGCTTCGTTCGAGGCGGTAGCATCCACATGCCACCAGATGCTTAAGTTCCCAAGCGGAGGACAGACTGGACGCGTTCGAGGTAACCTACAAGAAGCTAGAGAGTGCTACCAAGCCACCATTGAACACCTTGAAGTCGATCTGGTTGACACTAGAGGTGACGTCCCGAGACCGGAAGCAGTCGAGGGAGATGTGGCGGTCGAGCTAGACGCAGAGCGGCCAGAGAGAACAGTGCGCATCTCCGCACACCTCGCCCACGAAGAAGCCCAGAAACTACTTGTACTCCTCAGAGAGTTCCAAGA